CTATGTTTTTTTTCTATAGATACATACCTATGATAAATTTTGTTTACAAATTAGGCACAATAAGAGATTAACAGCAGTAAAAGAGAACAATTATAACAATATACTATAATAGAAGTTATGTGAATGTAGTCTCTCTCTTTCAAAACATTCATCCTTCTTGTTGACCACAGTAACTGAAACTGAGGAAAGAGAAACCATGGATGAGGGGGACAACTGTATCCAAATCGGTAACTTGTATCTTAATGGGAAACAACTTTATTAACTAGAGTGCTTATGTGCAGTTTCTTTCTGCTTTTTGTCTTACAGACTCCAGTCATTTCCGAAGTTTCTTAGGTCAGCATTTTCCCACTGCCACTTCAGTGAGTTATTTCACACATCTGTAATATAGTTAGATTCTCTTGTCCCAGTCTGAATTCTTTCCTGGGATCCCCCAATCTCCTAAATTATTTTTTTTGCAGCTGGCCAATATGGGGAACTGAACCCTTGACCTTGGTGTTACAGGGCCGTTAAATGATTTCTTTTTAATTCACATACATTAAGATTCACTCTTTGTGCTGTAAAGTTCTATGGTTTGACAAATGCATAATGTCATATGTCTGCCATTATAGTATCATACAGAAGAGTTTCAATGCCCTAAAAATACTCTGTACTTCACCTATTCATCCCTTTCCTCTTTCCTCAAACTGCTGGCAACCACTGATGTTTTTACTGTCTCTAATATAGTTTTCGCCTTTTCCAAAATGTCATATTGTTGGAATCATACTGCATATGGCCTTTTCAGACTGCCTTCTTTCACTTAGCAATATGAGGATACTTTAAAAAGTACATGGTGGGGCCGGCCCGTGGCTCACTCGGGAGAGTGCGATGCTGGTAACACCAAGGCCATGGGTTCGCATCCTATATAGGGATGGCCAGTTGGCTCACTGGCTGAGCGTGGTGTTGATGACACCAAGCTAAGGGTTGAGATCTCCTTACCGGTCCTTTAAAAAAAAAAAAAAAAAAAAAAGTTCATGGTGGGCTGGCCAGTCACCTCAGTTGGTTAGAGCACCCCCTTGTAACACTGAGATTAAAGGTTTGGATCCACATATTGGCCAACTGCTAAAAACCAAAAATTTTTTTAAAAGTTTGTGGAAAACCAATTAAGAGATAATATGAATCTTTCCATGAACAACTTTTTTTTTTTTTGGCAGCTGGCTGGCAAGGGCTTTCCATGAACTTTTTGAAGTGCCCTTGTACTTGTAGGTTCTTCCATGGCTTTCTGTGGCTTGATAGCTCATTTCTTTTTATTGATGAATAATATTACATTGCATGGGTGTATCACGGTTTTAGCTAATTTTTAGTTGCTTTCTAATACATTGTATGGCTCTATTTAACTCATTTTCTATGATAACACGTAGGCTATTTTTCTTTATTTTTTCCTTGGTGCCCCTTCCTGAGGAGGAGCCTATATACTTCCCGCTCCATGTCACATGACCAAGCCTGACATCTTTTAGCCAATAAAATTTGAAGACATTTCAAGAGCTATCACATGTATCTACCTTCTCCTTCACCATGTGACTGGCATGTCCTAGATGGGGCTGCTCCTTTAGCTGGGTCTAAGAGTGAAGACCTCTTAGAGATGAGTAATGTAAAATAAAAAAGAAAACTCCTTTTAAACCAGAGTTTTTGTGGTTCGTTGTTATGTGCATAACAAAAGCAAAAGCTGACAAATAAATCCCCAGCCCTCACTTTTCAAATGCCATCTCCCCTCATCTTAGCTTTTCTTCTTCTTCTTTTGCAAATCTGTGTCTATTGTTCATTCAGTAAGGGTTAACGTTGAAAGGATTCCTGTCTCAATTTAATATCTTGTTTTTTGCCTTTGGATTGTCTGTTCCATGTTCATGACAACCTTTGCTAAATTCTAAATCTGTGCTTATTATTTTGGGGGTACATGAGGGTGAGTAATGAATTCTTTAGACTGCCCAATATAGTAGCTACTACTCACATGTGGCAATTTAAATTATTTAAAATTAAATAAAATTAAAAATCCAGTTCCTTATACCACTAGTCATATTTCAAGTGTTCAGTAGCCATATGTGGCTACCATATTGGACAACACAAATACACATTTCCATCATTGTAGAAAAGTCTATTGAACGGTGCTGCCTTAGAGAATTTGTTGACAGCTATATATGAACATTTGACAAACATGCACAGTTTCTGTGAAGCTACGTGAACCTCAGGGTAATTCCCATGCTCTAGTTAGTATGCCTTACCTTGCTTTGGGTTCAGTATCTGACACTGAAGTAACTGAAAAAACTGTAATTCTATCAAATTCTTTTTTTTTTTGTCTTTTTTACTGACCGGTAACGGGATCGCAACCCTCGGTGTTGCGCCCGCCCTGCGCTCAGCCAGTGAGCGGGAACCGGTCTCCACATGGGATCTGAATCCTCGGCGGGAGTGCCACTTTGCTCCCAAGCGGCGCACTCTCCAGTGCGCCACCGGGCCAGCCCCTCAAATTCTGATTGTCCTGAACTTTGGGTCCTAGACCCATTGATCCATGTAATTGCTAGAGTGAACAAGATAGAAACACCCCCTCAAGACTGAGGAAGGAACATAAGAATGGGGGAAATTGTAACATCAGGATCCCCCCATATTTGATCATATTTGATCCTTTTCCCCTAGGGCTGGAGCAAGCCTCAGCCGTGGAGGAAGTTTGCAAGGTGAACTTGCTGGCTGAATACCCAGAAGTAGGAGTATGTTTGTCTAGCAAAATATAAGATAAGCATAAAGGCCAACTTAGCATGCATTTCTCCGAGTTCCCTCTTTTTGCATGTTTATTTAATATTTTGAACCTTGGTAACTGGTAGGATGACATTATTTACATAAATGTAAAGCTGTTTGCCAGTTAGCCTGGAGTTACAGACTTGCTATGAGGCACGACTATCCAGACCCTGAGATACCAAGGAAGACATCAATAAAGCTATACTGATTCCGCCCCAAAGCAAATCAAAATCCTACAGGACCCTGAGATAACCTCAAGGATGAAAAAAGAAACCAGATGGAGCCTTGGTGAGATTTGGCACCTGGCCTCTTACTCGGAGCTCCCACAATTCACGTCCTCCTCCCTTCCGATTTTCACTTCCCACTTCTTACCCCATGAAAGCCCTCAGTTAACTTGAGAATATGAGATGGGTTAGCCTACCATCTCCTCAAGTTACTGGGGTTCCTTAATAAAGCTGCCTTCCCTTTTTACCAGCATTTGACTTTCGGGTTGTTTGGGGAGGGTCTATCAGACTTGGGTTTGGTAACATAATGTCAAGCAGCAATGGTAGGAAAAAAGCCAGTCTTTAGAAGTATGACTCAGTGCCTTTGGCCCAGGAACACTACATCTTAAGAGCAGCTATTGTAAATACAAGGTGTCAAGGCAAATACATTAAGAGGAAAGAGGCTGCCTCTATCCTTTCTTATTCACACTGAGGAACCAAGTGTGCGTGTATGAGGGGCGGGGGCAAGGAGGTGGCATTTTCCAGTGAAATATTAACGTAAAAATAGCACCAGCAATAGTTTATGCCTAGTATCCCTCAAATGCTTGAATTCATTCTTTAATCTTTGCAAGGAAAAGATGATTATTTTTCTGTTAAGGCTGGAAAACCCAGGTTCACATGGATAAGTTGCCAAGGTCACACAACCTATAAATGGCCAAATCAGAACTCCAGCCAAGGTCAGCCGGGCACCATTCCACATACTACATCCATAATTTGTTCCTACTTCCCTGCTCCTATCAGCTCTGGCGAATTGCGAAGGCTGGTTAGGCACCTCCAGCAGTCATCTTCAGCACATGTGTCCGTCAGGAGCCATCCACGCTCACAGCTGCCAGTCAGGGTCTGCAGTGTCCATAACCACCTGTAGCTCATTGGGCCCAACACAAATGGTCATAGAGGTGCCAGTTTATGTACTACACCCTTCCCCAAATTGGTGAGGCTGATGAGCCTCGACCAGTCTAAACGCTGAGGTGCGTCCAAAGCACGAGGAGTTGGGTCTCACCCTCGGCCACACAGAGACCCCATCCGCTCGGAGTCCTGCTGCTCCAATGATGCCCGCGATCTCCAGGGGTTCCCTGACACCTGGGACCCGTGAAGCAAGGGGAGCCGGGGCCTTGCTAAGCACGAGAACGTTGGGAGCAGCGGAGGCGGGGCGCCTCGTGTGCTGGGCGGGGAGAGGTGGCCCGGAAGGAACCTGCCGCGGTCGAGTCACTGCTCTGTTCACTATGCTCCGCGTGAAGTTCGAGTCGGTGAAATAGAACACCTGGGGAGCGAGAAGCCGGTATCTTAAGGACGGCTCAAACCGTGGAGCCACAGACCCTTGGGCCCAAGAGCAAGTTCCCTCTTTTTCAGAAAGTTGGTTCCGGTCTCAGGAGCCTCAGTTTTCTCATGGGCGGTCACGATTTAGGCCGACAGCCCCATGAGGGGATGAGCCGACGCCAGTCTGCGTCCCAGCACCAGGCTCCGCGCAGGAAGGCTGGAGGACGCGGACCAGAGGGAGCAAAGGGCTTCCCAGAAGAAGGGGCTCACTGGGAGCCAGGTGGAAGCTCAGGAGCGACGGGGGTTGCAATTTGCAGCCTCCCAGCCTCCACCCCCTTTTCCACAGTCCTTCCGCCTGGCTCCCAGTGAGCCCCTACCCCGCGGCCGTGACCGAAGCCGCACGTGGCCCAGCTGCACGTGGCCCCTCGCAAACTCCGCGCCTGGCGGCCTTGGGGAGTGTTCCAGGGCAGGGAGGGTGGCCGAATGGCAGACGAAGTAACGGAGAGCATCCCTGAGTATCACTTGCTATGAGGACAGAAAGAACGGAGGGCGGGTGAGTCCGCGGAAGGGATCGTGCGGTCGGGCGCATGTCCGTGGAGCGGTCCGCGGAAGGGGCGGGCTCCGAAGCGGCGTAAGAACGTGCCGAGCTGCAGCCCTCGTCCCTTCTGGCCCTCAGCACCTTTCCTTGAGGGCAGGGCGGGATGCTGCTCCCTCCTCTCCGCCAGCTCTTGCTGCTTGGTCGCATCCAAAGTCTGACTCGGTTATTGGAAGACAATCAGGGCCCAAAGGTCGTTTACATCGACTCGTGGATATTCTCAGAGTTGTTTGGTGAGCGAGCCCGGGGCTCGTACCCTTGGTGGTCCTGCCAGCTGCATCTTGCCCCGTGACTGCCTACGGTAGTCCACTCGCGGGGTGGGGCCTTAATCTAGTGCCCCTCAAAATTTCCTGGAATCCTAGACTATATATCGGTCCAGTCCGGGTCGACCCCGACTTAGAATGCCTCTTTCCTTTTCGACCTGAACCTCCTTCTCCCCATATCTGGTGCCTTCCTGCCAGCCGGCCCTGAGGCTCCTGGGGGCTGTCCCCACTCGTGGCTGAGCACCCCTTTCCTTTCGCAGGCGAGAATGGCGAAATGCCGAGGGCCTTCCAGAGGCTGTTCCGAGTCTCACTCGTGGTTGAATCGGTCCCAGGATGCGGAGTTCTGATCTTCATTTATGGATTGCCCCTTTTCAAGACTCTTGCGATGCTCCTGATTGGGACAGTGTCTTTCCAGCTTCGGACCCGCAGAAATCGAGGTGAGCAGCTTCCAGGGCCCTGGTAGGAACGGCTTCATTCGCCCCGGGGGTCTGGAAAGGTGGGTTTCGCTTCCCGCCTCTTTCAGGCTCACTCCAGTGCCTTAGTCTGAGGGCCTGGGACAGTTCTGAAAACAATCACGAAGTCTAAAATTATCCCTGGTGTGCCACCTGACTCCTCAGTAGGAAGAGTGCCTTGTGGGAAGGGAGACTGACTAGACCCAAAGGTGGAAAATCTAGGCTATTTATGTACTCCAGGTTTAGCAGTCCCCAGGTAATCCCCAGGGCAGCTCCTCCAGGAGACTCTTCCATCAACTCTCTTTTGTGGGCCAGCTCACTGACTTATATACAATAGAACTGCTGGTCTCAAAGAGGAGTCCCCACCAGCAGAATAAGCATCACTTGTGAATTAGTTAAAAATGCAAACTCTGGGCTGCTCCAAAGGTGGTGAGTTACCTCAATTGATTGTTGGCAGTCAGTTACAGATCGAACTCCTTGTTCTACTAGTTTTCCCCTTCTCACTACTGCACTTGACTGGTCTTTAAAAAAAAAAAAAAGAAAGAAAAAGGAAAGCAAATTCTGGCAACCACCCCAGACTCACAGAATGGGAATCTCTGGGGGTGCACAGCAACCTGTGTTTTATCAAGCCCTCCAGGTGATTCTAGTGCATGCCAAAGTTTGAAAATCACCCCTTTAGGGTTGCTGGCACAAGGTGTGCACCTGACCTGTCGCTTTCTTTTTAGCCAAAGTACGAGCCAAGTACCTGCAAAGTTCTGGATGGGCTTCCAGGAGCTCCAATTAAGGCCTGGCAGGACCTTAGGACAAGGATGGTATGCTTTCAGAAAGACTGCTGGCCTGGAGATCTGGAGGCCGAGGCCAAGGCCACAGTACTGTTTGTGCTGTGAAAGGTGGGGAAGGGGATGGGTGCGGGGGCAAGTGTTCTTAATTCTGTCATGGTTTAAGTTATTGCAAACTCGAGCTTTTAAATAAAGTTTCAATGGTTTTATAATTTGTATTGGTTTTGTGATGATCAGTGTTCCTTCCAGGGTAAGATGAGAAAGAGAAAAACACTTTCAAAAAGTAGGTCAGGTTGGAGTGAGTTGAAGAATTTAAATGGAAATGCATGTGGAATATGTCCAGTGGGGCTTTTAGTAAGAAAAGCTGATGCTCGGGCTGGCCCGTGGCTCACCTGGGAGAGTGCGGTGCTGATAACACCAATGCCACAGGTTCGGATCCTATATAGGGATGGCTGGTTCGCTCACTGGCTGAGCGTGGTGCTGACAACACCAAGTCAAGGGTTAAGATCCCCTAACCGGTCATCTTTTTAAAAAAAAAAAAAAAAGTAGTTTCAGCTACTCACAGGGTTTGGGGGTGTGAATTTTTCTGGAAGAGTCCCCAACATATGTAGATGAATGCTTTTTTCTCTCACGTGGGTCTCTACCACTAAGAGCAGAGTTTCAAGCAGGGATTTGTCTGTTGTGGGGATACTGCCTTGCAGTCTAGACAGATGAGAGCAAAACAACTGCTTCTTGGTTTGTGTACCGCAGGGCTCCCTGCTAGCTTTAGCAGGAGTGGTTCAGTTGCAACTGTGAGATTCTTGGAAGTCAGGTTGGAGTGAGTTGAAGAATTTAAATGGAAATGCATGTGGAATATGTCCAGTGGGGCTTTTAGTAAGAAAAGCTGATGCTCGGGCTGGCCCGTGGCTCACCTGGGAGAGTGCGGTGCTGATAACACCAATGCCACAGGTTCGGATCCTATATAGGGATGGCTGGTTCGCTCACTGGCTGAGCGTGGTGCTGACAACACCAAACCAAGGATTAAGATCCCCTTACCAGTCATCTTTAAAAAAAAAAAGAAAGAAAAGCTGATGCTCCTAGATGGAAAACCTGGATAATTTTTGTTGCAATGGGGAACAAAGAAATAGCTGGGAACAGGGAGAAGCTGTGGGAAGAGAGATCTTATTATTTGCCGTAATAGAGAGGGCAGGGTGTGGGGTTGGGACAAGGAAGATGCAGAGGGAGTGAGAGGCTGACTATCTGGAGGTAGATGGGGATAACTGAAGCCTTCAAGCCCTAATGGAAGCCAGAGGGGATGTCACCCAGACCCTTGGTGGAGGGAGCATCTATTGGTAGGAGCAGAGGACCATAAGTAATAGGAGGCAGGAAGGGTGAGTGTTCAGGGAGCTTTATGGAGAGATTCACTCTGATTAAAGAGAAAGAATACTCATTAGTATTCTTAGTCCTTAATCTATGACTATTAATTAACAATTTCTTTAATAAAAGATACTAAGTACTTATATACCTACTTTCATAACTAATGAACTGGTATTATGATATGTATATTTTGGTTTTCATCCAAGGTTGCTGGCTTGTTCTAACCTTCCCCCACCTTTTTGTCTTAGAGCTGGCCATAAAGAGATTCTCTGACTTACCTTGTCTGTACGTCGTAAGATTCCCATTTCAGGAGTCCTGCCCCATAACCTGGAGGAAGAAATGCTGCATGAGAGGCCAAGAAGAATCTGAACAGACAGGCCTTGCTGAGTTTCCCCATCCAGTCTGTTAGAGTTAGATCATACCCTTTTTGTTCAATCACATTCTACACTGTTGTTCATGCATCAGTCATACCTACACAATGAAACTCCCAAAAGAACACTGGAGCACAAGGTTTAAGGAGTTTCCAGATAGCTGAACATGTGGAGGCTCCTGGAGGGTGGTGTGCCCAGGGAGAGCATGGAAGCTCCCTGCATACGTTGACCTATGCGTCTCTTCATCTTTATCCTTTGTCATATTCTTTATAATAAACCAGTAAATATAAGTGTTTCCCTGAGTTCTGTGACCTGCTGTGACCTGCTCAGCAAATTAATCGAACCCAAGGAAGTAGGAACCCCAATTTATAGACAGTTGGTCAGAAGCACAGGTAAAATAACCTGTAGTTTGTGATTGGCATCAGAAGTGTGTATGTAGGGGTGACTGAGCCCTCAACCTATGCAATCTGACACTGTCTCCAGGTAATTAGTGTTGGAATAGATTTGAATTAGAGCTGGTGTCCACTGCAGAACTGCTTGCTCGCTTGCTGATGGAGAGAAATCTCCACACATTTGGTCACAGAAATTGGTCTTCCACGTTGATGATTGTGCTGAAAGAGGAAAAACACTTGGGCTACATTTTTGTTTCATTCATAAACAAAAGTTTACTGACTTACAAATATAATTTGCTCAATTTTTTAAATAACTGGATATACTGAATTAAACTTATAAAATTTAAATCACAAGTGTAATATATTAGGTTCTCTTAAATGCTAAAAACTTTGAAAAGCAGCTAGAACATCTTCAAAATATATTTGTTAACACTTGAGAGCTTACTCAAGTGCCAGGTCCTTTTCTGTTTTAGATGTGTGATCTTATTCAGTATTCAAAACAACCCCATGAGATGGGTCCTCTGATTATTCCTTTGAAACTCAGACACAGAGAAACCAAGACACTTGCCCATGGTCACACAAACAGTGAGTGGCAAAGTTGGGATTAGAACCTAGGTTCTTCTGCTCTGTTTCCTTTTTATTGTTTTAGTGTATACAAAATAGATTATAACAGTTTCATTAAAACTAGAGAAATGATAATATCATGTAGTTAAATTGGTTTCTTTGTTATCTCTATACTTATTTTAATATCCAAGGGGAATGCAATTTGTTATATATGTTCTAAGAATTGCAATAAATTACCAGGAAATATGTTTATACTTTCTTTGGGTTTTCTTAATTTTATAAGACACCAAAAGAAAAGCCATCCCAGACCAGATACCTTTTGGTGGCTCATGGCTTCTGGAAGGAAACTGGACCTTGTTTCATAGTCCAGTTTTGTAAAACTTGAGCCAATCATTAAGCGAGTAAAGTCTAGCAGTGTACTCTTTATGTCCCCAATTTTCACTTAGATTTTACTTAAAATTTTACTTTTTAAATAAATAATACATGTACATGGTAGAATTCAGAAGATACAAAAGGATATGTGGAGGGGCCGGCTCGTGGCTCACTTGGGAGAGTGCGGTGCTGATAACACCAAGGCCACGGGTTCGGATCCTATATAGGGATGGCCGGTTAGCTCACTGGCTGAGTGTGGTGCTGACAACACCAAGCCAAGGGTTAAGATCCCCTTACTGGTCATCTTTTGTAAAAAAAAAAAAAAAAAAAAAAAAAATGTAAGCAATAAATTTTGTTTTCTTCATTTAAAAAAATATATATATATTTGTTGTTTAAGTCTATGGTATTCCGTTGTAAGCAGCCTGAATGAACCAAGACAGGATATATACTTAGGAGTAATGGGGGTATATACCTATATTCCTAGCTAAGGTTGTATACTGGGTGGATATACCTAGGAATAGAATTGCTGAGCCGTAGTGTGTATATATTTTTGAACCTTAAAAGATAATGCCAAGTATTTTCTAAACTTAATTTGTCATTTACACTTTTCCTAACACAGTATATGAGTTCCTGTTCAGCATCTTGCAAAAAAGTGTTATCATAAGTCTTAAATTTAGCTATTCTAGTGGGTAAGTAATGGTATCTCACAGGGGTTTGTTCTTGTTTTTGTTTTTAATGGCTGGCTGGTTTGGGGAATATGGTGGTTTTATTTTATATTTTTCTGAATAAAATTTAGCACCTTTTCATATTATTATTTTGTGAAGTGCCATTTGTTCACTTTTTCTTCTAGATTGTATTTTTCTTATTGATTTATTAGAGCTCTTTATATATTTTGGATATGAGCCCTTTGTTTATCATTTGTGTTGTAAATACTGTCCCTACTTTGTGACCTGCGTTTTTCATTTTCTTAATGGTATCATTTGAAGATGTTTTTTTTTTTTTCTTTTTGTCTTTTTTCGTGACTGGTAACGGGATGCTTTATTATACTTCCTTGTCTTCAATCTCATAATCTTTATCCCTCCAGGTTCCTTACCAGCCAGCCATGCCATTTGCCTCTGCATGTGAGTCTGTCTGCATGTTAACTTTGAGACACTTTCCACACAGTGGGTGACCAGGTGCATTGTCTGAAGTTCTTTCCATGGGAAGGATTTCCCCTCAACGCTTTCAAGGCCATCTCCATGCAGCAGCAGGTGTGAGCTGAGTGATGGTGTTGGTGCACTGGTGGTATATGAAGGGTGTCTTTTCATGCAGCTCCTTGTGCCCTCTGGTCCTGCTGTGTTCTATCCCAGCTGTACCACTTCTAGTTCATCATGGATTACTGCTTGGTCCATGTGATCTAATGACTTTGTGCATCTGATAGAAACCAGCTCGTGGTGAGTAGTTGTGGCTGCATGGTCACTTGGTGTCCTATAGTCTTCTCTACAAGGGCCAAGTAGAATTCCAGCAATGTTTTTCAAAAAGTGTGTAATTCTCCACTGCAGATGATGTGGCCTTGCTCCAGAGCTGTAGTGTCTGCACTGCGACTCTCCCATTGCAGCTTGCCATAAATTCCACATGGCATATTTTCTCACCACTGAGATAGCAGACTGTAGGGTCAGCTGGATCATATGGCTTAAGAGACAGGGCCACCTGAACCACAGCCTGGACCTGCCTCAGAGTCCTTTTATGCTCTGGATTCCACTAAAACGTGGCAGCCTTTATGTCACCTGGTATATGGGTCACTGCAGTGTTCCCAAGTGTAGAATATACTGCCTCCGGAACCTGAAGAGGCTTATCAGACCTGGACATCTCTCTTAGTTTTAAGATGTAGAATGCAATTATTTGTCCTTTCCTTTGGAGGGAATGGTCCAGTATATCTCAGACCCCCAATCATGTAAAAGTTTTTGACATAGTGGGCCCCAGAATCTTTCTATGGTTTATCTTTTACTTTCTGGAATATGCATGTCTTACTAAGGTCTTCATTGTATTGGCTAAATCTTCCTTATATGATGTTATCAATAAAGTGGACCAATATGATAGTCTGTAGGATATCCAATTGGTTCAGGTCTCTGCACTATATCATGACAGAGAGCATGAGAGTTAACATAGCCTTGGTTAAGA